TTTTTCTTTTTTTTTAATTATCTCTGCAACAGAGAATTACTTGGCTCAAGGATGTCTTTTCTACCAGTATTAAAAGCCATTGTTCTATGATACGTGGAATGTACTGATTACGATTTGTATAATTTCCTAATGAGGATTGGGGGTTATGGGTATGGCGGGTGGGGGGGCTGGAGAGGGAGAATTAGGGACAATGTTTTTGTCATTTTATGTACTAATGTTTAGGATTCTTTTGTACGTTTGTGTTTTTTTTTTGTTTTGTTTTTTTGTACTGTTCTAGGGATGTGGGTAGGAATAATTAAACAGATCCGTTCAAATGACACATTTAAAGTACTTCTGATTTCTTAATTAGCTGTAAAAACAGAGTTTAAAAATATTACAACAATATCATGTAGGTAATGTGCTGAGTCCTCCTGTTTCATTGTTCAAACGCCTTTACTAAGCTTATGCAAATTTAGCTTTCTGGATGGTAGAGCCCTATTCTATATGTGGTTGTTGAACTAATTCAGCTAAATGGAGAAATGTGTGGATAGCAAACTAATTCTTAGTGAGAACATATTGGGTAATATTTTATCTCGATGCCAGAGCACAATAATTGTACTCCCCAAATCCCATTACCTGTTTGTATGATAAATGTACATTATTACTATTAGCTCGTTCGGGCCTTATTGTATCTTTTAAAATATTACTAATAAAGATTATTATACAAATCCAATGCTGTTTATTGTGGTCTATTTATGTAACATTTTTAAGTTTACTAAACCAGGAATTGAGGAGAATTATAAATAGCAAAACAAAAAGGCTAATTTTGGAAAATGTTTTCCAAATCTATTTTGGTAGTTGCCTTGTCAGTTCAAGTCTTTTAGATCTAAAACAAAGTACTATCTCTTTAAATAGTTAATCCACCTATATTCACCTGTTTGTTTTTTAAATATATTTTATAAACACTGCACATTTATATTTTTACTTTCCGGTATTGTGATACCATGACAGAAAAGGGATGGCTAGGAGCATGATTGGGTTCGAGTGACAGGGAAGCCTGAGTGTGAGTGACTCGAGTGTGCAAGAAGAGAGAAGTTGCTAGGGAGAAAGGTTGGTGATGCATGGATGGCAAGAAGATCATAGAGCTGCTGTAACGGGTTAACACTGGGAGAAAGGTGATGGAACAAGTACACTTCAGACAGAGATGTGTGTTGCTCTGTACATGATTTCAGTGCCTCAACAGTTAAACCCCAAACTGGGGTTATGAGGGGGGATGTGTAGAAAGATCTGCTTGAGCCTTTAATTGCTCAATGTATGGCAACATAGGATGACGGTTCCTACTTCAAAGGTTTTGTTCTGCCAAATATATTGTCATGAGCTACTCTTAATTTGGAGCAATCGGGGTCACTCTGATTTAAAGGAACACTATATAGTCCTCTATAACAGTTTCCCCCACCCCCCAAACAGAGAGGTCATTGAGATTCCAAAGCCCCCTTTGTAACAAAAAAAAAATATCCGCTATTAAATTAACGCACTACCTAACTGTAGTCCAGTGCCAAGGCCTCCTCTTCACTGCAGCCTGGTCGACCAGTGAGGTCATCGGGCTTGATCACCATTTTGTCCAATCAAATGCTTCTCTTAGAGAAGCATTGTGGAGTTAATGTTTATGTGCGGAAATTGGCGTGATGTGCCAGTCACATGCTTCTTATAGGGGAGCATTTTATCCAATGCTAGTCAATGAGAAGCACTGATTAAACATTTACTATACTTGAGCAATACGTCAAGAAATTAGGATGACTGTTCACACTGGGGAAGCACCACAATGTAAACACTGCCGTATCTCCAAAATGGCAGTGGTTTACATTGCGTTAACAAAACACCTTGGACACGGCAGTGAACAATTCATCAATAAGACAAAAACTTATAGTGGTTGTGTTTTTTTTTTTTTTTTAATGAATTGAAATAAAATGTGGTGAAATAAGCTTACATGTGTTCTTACACGGCTTAAAAATATATATATAGCTGTCATTCTGCGCAAATTTGTTAGAAAGTGACCCCACACATACCATGATGGGATCCCATTATAGGAGGGAATTGCCTAAAACTTGAATAGGAAGGAATAAATACATTCACGTCTGTGAAATATATTTGATCACCATAAACTTCCAGTTTTGCAGACACCAATGATACATGTAGAATATTATAGAAAGTTGTACGCTCTGCAGAACATTACAATTTTCTTAGTGAACTTGGTGACTGATACACTGTAAACCTGGATGGTATTCTGCCATGTGACCTGGAGGGGGACAACTCTGGACAGACAAAAGGACTCGTTCCATATATTGAGATACAATCAACATTTCTATGAATTCCCTCAGGATATTATTTTTAAAAGACAAATCTGAACATTTTCTTAAAAGAAACAGACTTGCTAATTCTTTGTAAATTTATGATTTTCTGTGTTTTTGTCTTGGTTTTCTTTTTTTGTTTTTTTTTTAAGTGTGCATGTTTTTATACATATATCTTATGTTGTATTAAGCACTGTTATTTTGGTTTATTAAATTAAGTTCTATCTTGGCTTTGTGGATTCATGGTAATGATGGTACTCTTGTTAATTATTATAGCTTTAAGAAAAAAAAATATTAAAGGATGTGTGATTGCTATTATTATGGTGAGACAGCAGTAAATATTACAAGGATTCTACAAGATTGTTAGAAACAGAAGAATGAATAAAAGTACAGATGATAAACCACGCCTACATTTTTTTTACCCTTGAGTCTAGTGACACAGAAAAATATACACACATATATCAAATAGGGATTATGTTGCCTAATATCTCAAAAACAAAAGCAATTAAAAAGTGTAAAATGTATAATAAAGGAACAAAATACAAATATTGTAGTGGAGGCACACTCACACTTTGTAAAGCTACTGAGAGCTCTGCTGTAGTTGGTGAGGACAGTAAAATCCCTGTCTCTGTATATATATTCCGCAGTAGTGAGGGTGTTTCTCCATATGACAAAATATGTAGAAACAAAACACAAGAATATCCAATAGCGCGCTATCTATGTATGTACAGCAACCATACAGAGGAAGGGGGTAAGCATCCTACTTAGTTAGCAAAGCATAGAACCTGCTCTGTTGTAAAGGAGTTTTGATGGAACATTCCCCACCTGGTGAATAAAATAATGTCAGGATGTATGGAATCAGGAAGCCAGTAGGATTTAAAGTAGAATTCCAAATACATTCAAAATTCAATTTAAAAAGATTTAACTTTATTACAATTACACTCAAAATAAATAAAACCAATAAAAAAACCAAAAAAAACAATGTTAGGCTATACTCAATGCGTTTCGCTACTTTCAGTGACCTCTGATGTAACTCCATGGTGAAATACATTGGTTATGTAAGGGTAAAGTATTTGTGTTTGGTTTTTTTTAGGCATGGTTTATAATCTATACTGTTTTTTTATTACATAAAGTTATAAGTATAATAAATTTTTTATTTTTTTTTGGGAAGTTGCAGGCAGCATGTTAACTATTATAATCTGGGTTGATGTAGATAAGATTTGGGGGTAATTTGGTAAAACTTTGTAAAATTGGTGAAAGGTACAGCTTGTTAATCCAGAGGTTGTATGCTATTAACCCTTTCAAACTTGCACTTTCACCTCTCTTCTGGTTGTGATGGACTTTCTGATAGTGGAATAAAGCAAAGCCCAGAGGAATGAATAGAGAAGTGAGGGCCATACACTGGACAACCCAGGCAAGACAAGGACCGCAACGTTTACATATTGTGAGAATGTGACTGTGGTCTGGATTATATTTGCCAAGGAGGAACTTCTGGTTACCTGTGACAAGAGCAAATCGTTCCGTGGACGGGAAAAGTAACCCTGGAAGAATGGGAAAGATCCTATTTGGAAGACTGCAAGAGGAGCATAAACTCCATCAAAAACAGATGAACAGAATGGAAGAGGCTAACAAAGCCAAAGAGAAGGAAGTATTGTATACCACTATACATGGAATACAGTGAGTGAGAGGAGATGATATTGCAAAACACTTAGTTGCACTTATGTTATTATTACACCTTTCACTGCGCATGCACAAACTGCATGGAGGTTAAAGTCTGATAACTGCAGGCATGCGAAAACCGCAACTGCCAATTTCAATAGCATCCGTGCTTCAAGTCTGGGGCTCCCACCAAGATCTACTCAATATGTGCATGCCTATTTTAAAGTTCCTTAATCGGATTTCATGTGGTATTAAAGCTACCATCAATTATAGTGAACATAATTGGCATTTTGCATACTAACATACATAACAATGCAAAAAAACTTTGCTGCAAACTGTGCCAACATATACGCACAGACAACACAATCACCCACACCAACAAAACCTAGAGCATTAAAGGATCATACTCCTGCACATCTTACAATGTATATATACAGTTTTGCTCAAAAGTTTGCATACCCTTGGAGAATTGGTAAAATATGTACGATTTTGAATGAAAACACGAGTGAGCAGGCAAAACACATTTATTTCTTATATGATTTTTATTTAACTGTAGGTTGTAACAGAATGGCACAATCATAAAACAAAACATCGCAACAAAGAAATGAAATGACCGCTGTTCAAAAGTCTGCATACCCTTCGTTCTTAATCCTGTGTATTTCCCCCTTTAGCATCAATGTGCAGTCTTTTGTAATGGTTGTCTATGAGGCCCCTTATTCTTGTAGGTGGTATAGCTGCCCCTTCGTCTTGGCAATGTGCCTCCAGGTCATGCAAAGTCTTTGATCGTCTTGCGTGAACCGCACGTTTGAGATCTCCCCAGAGTGGCTCGATGACATTAAGGTCAAGAGACTGTGATGGCCACTCCAGAACCTTCACCCTTTTCTGCTATAACCACTGGAGGGTTGGCTTGGCCTTGTGCTTAGGGTCATTGTCATGCTGGAAAGTCCAAGAGCATCCCATGCGCAGCCATCGTGCAGATGAATGCAAATTGTCTGCCAGTATTTCTGATAACCTGTTGCATTCATCTTGCCATTAATTTTCACAAAATTCCCCCTGCCCTTAGAGCTCACACACCCTCAAAATATCAGTGAGCCACCACCATGCTTCACAGTGGGGATGGTATTATTTTCAATATAGGCCTTGTTGATCTCTCTCCAAACATAGCGCTTACGGTTGACCATGAAGCTCTATTTTGGTCTCGTCACTCCAAATTAGTGTGCCAGAAGCTCTGAGACATGTCAAGGTGTTGTCTGGCATATTGTAACCGGGCTTTTTGTGTGGCATTGGCGCAGTAAAGGCTTCTTTCTGGCAACTCGACAATGCAGCTCATTTTTGTTCAAGTATCGGCGTGTTGTGCTACTTGAAACAACCACACCATCTTTTTCCAGAGCAGCCTGTATTTCTCTTAAGGCTACCTGTGGGTTTTTCTTTGTATCCTGAGCAATTCCTCTGGCAGTTGTGGTTGAAATCTTTCTTGGTCTACATGACCTTGGCTCGGTATTAAGAGATGCCCAGATTTTCCACTTCTTAATAAGTGATTGAACAGTACTGCTAACTGAGGCCTGTAAAGTCTGAGATGTAACACTTTTAAAAAAAAAATTCTCTCAGAATTGCATGTTCTGAGCTTAAGGTGAATTTCCTGGGACGTCCACTCCTGGGAAGATTGGCAACAGGCTTGAATGTTTCCCACTTTTGAATAATATTTATCACTGTAGAATGATACTTTAAAATTTCTTGGGGAAATGGCCTTATAACCCGTCCCAGTTTGATGGGCAGCAACAATTGCTTCTCGAAGATCATTGCTGATGTCTTTCCTCCTTGGCATTGTGTTAACACACACCTGAATGCTCCAGGACAACAAACTACTAAAACTTTGGCTTTTATAGATGTGGTCACACTTGCTGATGATCAATTAATAAAGGGCATTTGATTAGCAGCACCTGTCTACTTAGCCTGGTATTAAAAATTAAAGCCAAAATAAGTACACCCTTATTGCTTCCATAGGAAGTGATAAGGTAATTCATATGGAAGCAATAAGAGTGTACTTATTTTGGCTTTAATTTTGTTAAATAACTTCACAAGTTTATCTGAAGTTGTATTTACCTAATTTTAAGACCTGCTAACAAACAGATGATTGTTATTGTGTCCTGATTTGTAAAACCATAGAATTCAAAGAGGGTGTACTTTATTTTTTCCATATATGTATAGCCATATGTGTGTGTAGGCTGTATTCCTTCATACATATTCCAGATTCTTGGATGCCAGTATATACATTCTTAATCTGTGTAATTATATTATTTTAACTTGCCCCTCTCTAACACCATATCATGTGCTGTTTTTGTGGTTTTCTCTACCACCTCCCCAAATACTCTGCGATCCTTACACAAAATATTGACAACCCACAGTGAGAATGGTGTCTATTTTCTATCCAAGCTGCAACTTATTTACACTAATGTCGCTTTAATTTGCAACTCAACTTGGAATTCTATGTGTCGTTTTTGTTAGTCCAATCAAAAAGGTATTACAAGATATTAATTTAATAGGGATGTGCATATTCGGTTTGGCATTCCGAAATTCAGGACTTTGGGTAAGTGTAGGTTTAGGGTTATCCAACCCCTAACCCCAACCCTCTCCTGTTTTGCCACTTTTCAGAAATCCGAAGCACTTCGGACATTCAGAAGCATCCGAATATCCGAAATTCGTCCGAATTTGCATTTGGAACTAAACAAATTGCACATGTCTATATAATTTGAGATAATCTCATAAATATATATATATATTATTCCCCTGCAGACTAGCAGTCTCTGGAAGGATACTAGCCTCATGCAGCTCTTTAGAGGGTCCAGTGCAGCTTGCAAAAATTTTCAGGGCCGGCGCTGCAATAAGGCGGCACAGATGGCCGTGTTAGGGCGCACTGGCCAGGAAGGCGCAGGATCTGGCTGACTTGCAGGAGGGAAGTGTTCCAATTGAGTTACGAAACAGAGGCAAAATAGTTGTGCTGTGACAATAGTGGAATTGTAGGATTATTTCCAAATGAGCACTTTTTCCCCTAAATTTTGCAATTCGGTTTTCAATTCACTAAAATAGCATAGTGCAAAAAAACTTTGGCGTTATTAACCAAGTCATTAATTATTGGTAGCTCACTCGAGTAATGTACATTTTAGTCCAAAATCAACATTAGAAAAAAAAATGTCCAAAACAGACAATGTCTTCCAGTTCTGCTTTTGTATTTTTTTTTTTTTTTATACCGTAAATCTGAAAATGCCTAGCGTCTTCTTAACTGTTTAGGGAATAATAATGCTAGTACTGACCAGATCACATTTTAAATTACTGATAGCGTATTAAAACCTAGAAAGTGGGTGACTACTTGATGTCTATACTTTTTGATTATTTTAATAAGTATTCATTCATATATATTTTTTTTTTTTCAGGCTAAAGTACGATGAAGTCGCAGTTCCTTTGAATATCAACAACCCCACAACTCTTGACAGAAATAAATACCACTGACACTAGTTATACCATTTTGCTAAATCGTATTCATAAACCTAAAGTGATACTCTATACAAAAAATTTGTATTTTTCTCTTATGTTACTATTAGCAGTGAAGTTTTATGTTAGCATTTATTAACAAAATAGCAATTAAACTTTCTTTTACAGCAGCATTTAAATAACTCCTCTTAGCCTAATCTGCCCACAGTGACATCAACTTACTTCTCATAGATTGATGAACTTTGCTCAATAATTGTATCTTGCAGAGAAGAATTGAAACAGTTCAGTGATGCTTATTGCTGGAATTGTACATGGTGCCATGCACAACACTAATCAGCATACTGATAGGAACAGTCTTTAGATTTGCAGGTGTTGCTCCAAACCAAACAACTGCTGCAAACCAGAACTGGATTAAGATTGATTGGGGCCATAGGCAAGATGCCAGATCAGGGCACCCTCCTAGACATTTGTTCTGTGAATAAGGGCCGCTGTGTGTGTGTGTGTGTGTGTGTGTGTTCATGTAGTGGCTGAGTGTTCTGTGAATTGGGGGAGGATGTTCAGTGTTTGGGGAGAGCTTTCCCTTTAAAAAAATACAAATAAAATTTGCCCCCACCATTAGCAGAAGGGTGTAATCCTTAGTTATTCAATGGTGGGCACACATGAGGAGCAGGATCTCTGGTGGTCCTTTTAAGAGAACGTTGTCATCTGCACTTTCATCAGGTGCAAATCCCTTTGATAGCTTCCTTGCAGTTCCAGAGTTCAGTCAATGATTCAGAGCTCTGGTGCTGCACTTTGAGCCATTGAAAAATGGTGGGACTGCTTAGGGTGGTGGCATCCAGTGACCCCCCTTGACCTCAAAGACAGAGCTGGAGCTCCAAGCCCTAGCCAACCACCCATGCTGCTTTATGTGTAATCAGTTCTGCTGCAAATTCATTTAAGCTGGCACACTATACATACTGATGTACCAAACTACCTGAAGTGGTCTGAGAGTCTAGATATACATTCTGGCTCTCTGAATTACAGAACTGCAAAGTGGTGCTAAAACTCTGCTTCAAAGCCTTTAAGGAGAAAACAAAACAGAATATGGACAGCATGAGGTGACCATAATCACTTCTATAACACGTACTGTTTTTGGTGCCTAGAGTGTCCCTTTAAAAGATTGCAGATAATACAAATACATTCTCCACTCTGTTGATCGGGTTGTGGTCAAAATCATGCAAAAAGGAGAATATTATCTATTCCTTCACAGTAACATCATAAAAATAAACATTATGATGGGAGCGCAATATAAAATATAAACCAATGTCAAATGAGCAATGTAAAATAATCTAAAATTAACACTAAGTACAGTAATGTGAAATTCTACTAAATATGGCATATTTTGCAGACTAAACTGTGCTAAAACAAAGACTAGTTTTGGACAAACCGGTCTAAAAAACCCCCCCCAAAAAATCTAATTTAAATATTTAGGCTTAAAGGGACACTGTAGGCACCAAAACAACTCTAGCATATAGAAGCAGTTTCAGTGTATAGATCAGGCCGCTGCAGTTTCACTGCTCAATTCTCTGCCTTTTAAGAGTTAAATCACTTTTATCCATGCAGCCTAGCTGTTTTATTCCAAGAATAAAACACAACACTTATTGCACTTACTATTTTTAAAATATTATTTTTATTTCTGTTTTTACCCACATAATACATCACAAGATCTTCTACTAGCAATCCAGTTCCTTAAGTGGATATTCTACCATTCTATGCTGCTTATTGAGAGCTGGTGAAGGCGTCTAAACACTTTGAGTGTATTTCTACATTTTTGTTGTTCTGCCCAAATATCAAAATATACTGCACTAGATTGGGATTTATTTTCTGTTTATTTTACATACCACTTGGAGCACTTACTACTGGATTAAAGGAATACATCAGATATCCCCAGACGGGGATAGTACCACCCAAACACATTTATCTGCAAGTGCATTTCTTTCTGATCTTCTACCCACTCGCACCAAAAATACTGCACTATGTTTTATTGTACCCTCCCTCTCTCTTTTTTTTTTTTTTTTAAAACCATATTTATCAACACCTGAGAATACACCTAAAGGCGCTATTCCCTCCTTCCATCTAACACATCTTTTAAAGGAAAGGGTTACACTTTGGGTAAGGGAAAAGGGGTATTGCGATGTGCAATGTACTCACCTTTCTATGATTCATAACCAAGATACAGCAGCTGCTATGGCCACCCCTGCACCTCCTGTAATTAATTTACTGTGTGAGAGGCTATTATTATTATCCCTTCCACTTCTTCCAGCCTCACACACAGACACTGGAGGAACTGGGACAGTACTGTACAGTATTTAACACCATCTAAATCTGATCCCCCAGCTCTGCTATCAAGCGAAGGAGACTGACTGGCTAAGGTTCCTAGTACATGTCTTTCCCAAACTGCCCCCAGATGCCCACTTCGTCTAAAGACTAATCCGGTCCTAGGATTAGGGGTTCTAACCCCTTGCCACTGTGTCCCCATAGTGTTATCGTGTCACTCGTTTCCCCAATTCTCTTTCATCTGTAGCGGTGTGTCACTGTCCCCCCCCTAATCCTTATTACCCTAGCCCTGTGTCATTCTGTTTCTCTAGCCTTGTATCACTCTGTCCCCAGCCTGGTTGTGCGACTCCAATCCATAATTGTGCCCCCCTGCCTTTTGTCACTCTTGCCCCTGTCCCTGTTGTTACTTTGTTTCCATTAATCCCTGCCCCCTAATACTGTGTCACTATTTCCCTTATCCCTTGTTCTTCTAGATA